AAGTGCTTGAGCTTCCGGAAGAGACCAAAGAAGAGGATGTTCCTACTGACGATGGTAAGCCACGTAAAATTAAAACAACCAAACGTACCATTAAAAAACAATTAGGTCCAAAACTCGAAACAACAGAGATCACTTCAACACAAATAGATGACGAAACACCGTTCATTACAGTACACACAACAGAGGAAACAATCGATGACACTACATCTCCACTTGACACTTTACACGACACACAAAATGACACATTACTAGAACAACAACAAGGTAAAGTGATCGAAGAAGAACCCAAACAAGTACAGATTGATCAAGTAAAGACGGAAAGTGGTGAAACGCAGCAGGTGAAGACAATCAAGCGAGTGATTAAAAAGCGTAAAGGACCCAAGAAAGAAGTAACTGAGATAACAACGATTGAAAAGGACGGCGAAGAACCGGTCACCAGTATTGTCGTGAAAGAAGAACCTGCTCCAGACTTCGAAAAGCTCCCTGAAGTCCCACAAGTGCTTGAACTTCCGGAAGAGACGAAAGAAGAGGAGGTTCCTACTGAAGATGGTAAGTCACGTAAAATTAAAACAATTAAACGTACTATTAAAAAGCGATTAGGTCCAAAACTCGAAACAACAGAAATCACATCAACACAAACAGATGACGAAACACCAATCGTTACAGTACACACAACAGAGGAAATACTTGATGACACTACATCTCCACTTGACACTTTACAAGAACCACAACGAGCTAAAGTGATTGAAGAAGAACCCGAACAAGTACAGATTGAACAAGTGAAGACAGAAAGTGGTGAAACGCAGCAGGTGAAGACAATCAAGCGAGTGATTAAAAAGCGTAAAGGGCCTAAGAAAGAAGTAACTGAGATAACAACGATTGAAAAGGAAGGCGAAGAACCCGTCACCAGTATTGTCGTGAAAGAAGAACCTGCTCCAGATTTTGAGGAGATCCCTGAAGTCCCACAAGTGCTTGAGCTTCCGGAAGAGACCAAAGAAGAGGAGATTCCTACTGACGATGGTAAGCCACGTAAAATTAAAACAACTAAACGTACCATTAAAAAGCGATTAGGTCCAAAACTCGAAACAACAGAAATCACATCAACACAAACAGATGACGAAACACCAATCGTTACAGTACACACAACAGAGGAAATACTTGATGACACTACATCTCCACTTGACACTTTATACGACACACAAAATGACACATTACTAGAACAACAACAAGGTAAAGTGATCGAAGAAGAACCCGAACAAGTACTGATTGATCAAGTAAAGACAGAAAGTGGTGAAATGCAGCAGGTGAAGACGATCAAGCGAATGATTAAAAAGCGTAAAGGCCCCAAGAAAGAAGTAACTGAGATAACAACGATTGAAAAGGAAGGCGAAGAACCCGTCACCAGTATTATCGTGAAAGAAGAACCTGCTCCAGATTTTGAGGAGATCCCTGAAGTCCCACAAATGCTTGAGCTTCCGGAAGAGACCAAAGAAGAGGAGGTTCCTACTGACGATGGTAAGCCACGTAAAATTAAAACAACTAAACGTACCATTAAAAAACAATTAGGTCCAAAACTCGAAACAACAGAAATCACTTCAACACAAATAGATGACGAAACACCAATCGTTACAGTACACACAACAGAGGAAACACTCGATGACACTACATCTCCACTTGACACTTTACACGACACACAAAATGACACATTACAAGAGCCACAACAAGGTACAGTGATCAAAGAAGAACCCGAACAAGTACAGATTGATCAAGTGAAGACGGAAAGTGGTGAAACGCAGCAGGTGAAGACAATCAAGCGAGTGATTAAAAAGCGTAAAGGACCCAAGAAAGAAGTAACTGAGATAACAACGATTGAAAAGGAAGGCGAAGAACCCGTCACCAGTATTGTCGTGAAAGAAGAACCTGCTCCAGATTTTGAGGAGATCCCTGAAGTCCCACAAATGCTTGAGCTTCCGGAAGAGACCAAAGAAGAGGAGGTTCCTACTGACGATGGTAAGCCACGTAAAATTAAAACAACTAAACGTACCATTAAAAAACAATTAGGTCCAAAACTTGAAACAACAGAAATCACATCAACACAAATAGATGACGAAACACCAATCGTTATAGTGCACACAACAGAGGAAACATTCGATGACACTACATCTCAACTTGACACTTTACACGACACACAAAATGACACATTACTAGAACAACAACAAGGTAAAGTGATCGAAGAAGAACCCGAACAAGTACAGATTGATCAAGTAAAGACAGAAAGTGGTGAAATGCAGCAGGTGAAGATGATCAAGCGAGTGATTAAAAAGCGTAAAGGCCCCAAGAAAGAAGTAACTGAGATAACAACGATTGAAAAGGAAGGCGAAGAACCCGTCACCAGTATTGTCGTGAAAGAAGAACCTGCTCCAGATTTTGAGGAGATCCCTGAAGTCCCACAAGTGCTTGAGCTTCCGGAAGAGACCAAAGAAGAGGAGGTTCCTACTGACGATGGTAAGCCACGTAAAATTAAAACAACCAAACGTACCATTAAAAAACAATTAGGTCCAAAACTCGAAACAACAGAAATCACTTCAACACAAATAGATGACGAAACACCAATCGTTACAGTACACACAACAGAGAAAACACTCGATGACACTACATCTCCACTTGACACTTTACACGACACACAAAATGACACATTACAAGAGCCACAACAAGGTAAAGTGATCGAAGAAGAACCCGAACAAGTACAGATTGATCAAGTGAAGACGGAAAGTGGTGAAACGCAGCAGGTGAAGACAATCAAGCGAGTGATTAAAAAGCGTAAAGGACCCAAGAAAGAAGTAACTGAGATAACAACGATTGAAAAGGAAGGCGAAGAACCCGTCACCAGTATTGTTGTGAAAGAAGTACCTGCTCCAGATTTTGAGGAGATCCCTGAAGTCCCACAAGTGCTTGAGCTTCCGGAAGAGACCAAAGAAGAGGAGGTTCCTACTGACGATGGTAAACTACGTAAAATTAAAACAACTAAACGTACCATTAAAAAACAATTAGGTCCAAAACTCGAAACAACAGAAATCACTTCAAAACAAATAGATGACGAAACACCAATCGTTACAGTACACACAACAGAGGAAACACTCGATGACACTACATCTCCACTTGATACTTTACACGACACACAAAATGACACATTACAAGAGCCACATCAAGGTAAAGTGATCGAAGAAGAACCCGAACAAGTACAGATTGATCAAGTGAAGACGGAAAGTGGTGAAACGCAGCAGGTGAAGACAATCAAGCGAGTGATTAAAAAGCGTAAAGGACCCAAGAAAGAAGTAACTGAGATAACAACGATTGAAAAGGAAGGCGAAAAACCCGTCACCAGTATTGTCGTGAAAGAAGAACCTGCTCCAGATTTTGAGGAGATCCCTGAAGTCCCACAAGTGCTTGAGCTTCCGGAAGAGACCAAAGAAGAGGAGGTTCCTACTGACGATGGTAAGCCACGTAAAATTAAAACAACCAAACGTACCATTAAAAAACAATTAGGTCCAAAACTCGAAACAACAGAAATCACTTTAACACAAATTAATGACGAAACACCAATCCTTACAGTACACACAACAGAGGAAACACTCGATTACACTACATCTTCATTAAACACTTTACACAAAACATTTAATGTTACGGTAATCGTAGAACAACATGAACAAGTAGATATTGATCAAGTGAAGGCGGATAGTGGTGAAATGCAGCAGATTACTGAAAATGCCTCTGAATTTTCACAATTGTTAGAGCTTCCTGAAGAGACCAAGGAAGAGGAATTTCTAAGTGAAGATGGTAAGCTACGTAATCTAAAAACAAATTATCTTGTTAATTTAAAGAAATTAACCATAAAACATCACACAACAGAAATAACAACAACTTAGGTAGGCAACGAGAAATCGATCTTAAATAGGGAAATACTTCACTTGAGACTTTACACATACACATAATGATAAAAAAGGCCTTAAAAAGGCCGCATACAAAGGCAGAGTGAACAGTCTGAATGATGTATTGATGGATTTTGTAAAAAAACGTTACATGTATCAAGGATAAAAATAAATGGATATATACTTCGTAAGAAGTACGTAGGTAATTCGCTAACGAAATTATTATAATGTAAATAATTTGTTTGTATTATAATATAAAGATATTTTTTCGATAATAATTGTTCCAATTTATTGTAACAGTTTAGTAGGCAAGATCTGAAAATTTATACAGCATATTTCTTTTAGTAGTACTGTAATAAGTAATTATAAATTAAATTATTAATATTTTTATATAACTTCGTTTAATTTTTATTATAATTTTCGTCCATTTAGGGGTTTTGTTATTGTTGTTGTCTAATTGTTTCTTTTGTCATTTTCTATACCTAAGTAGGTATCACATATTTCGACTAATTTAAACGCGATAGTATCGCCACGCTTACTGGGCCAGAAATGTTTGCCTGAATGACTATTTACATATTAAGTGGAGACAAATGACGGACGGATCAACTACTTTTTTGACATACCCAAATGTTAGGAATTTAATATGTGAAATTGGTACGGAAATAATGACTTTTATTATCATAATTACATGATGTAATATTGACTTTGTGAAGTGAACATTTGGAAACACTCCAACGATTAAGGTCTGGAAGATGGAGTCAGCCAGCACAGAATCAAATCTTTATGTTGATAGGCTGATTATGTGAATAATATGAATAAAACTGATGATTGTCCTTTAGCATACAGTATTTTACTGAAAATGCAATGGACAATAATTTTTAAACCAGTTTGGTGTTTTTTTTCATTGACTTCCCAAATTGGTATTTCATATTTTATAGGATCTATGTTAAATATTATGTTTTTATGATTTACAGATGATTTGAAGTTAGAAAATTTACCAATTGTGCAAGAAGACGAAAACTTAGAGAAGCCGTTGGTTCCGTTGGAATCAGAATCAGATTTACAGCCAAAATTAGGTGCAAAGAAACTAATTCCTCTTAAAGTAGAACACATTGTTGTTGAAACAGCTCAACATCCTGAAAAGAGCGAGAATACACAATTTACAAAAGTAAAATTGAAAAAATCTATTCAGAAACCTAAGCCAGAACCAACATCCACTGTAACTTTACCCAAATTCCAGCTAAAGAGCCGCATTAAAGTAATTGACGACTGGCCACCGAAAGAATTAAAACCAATATTGACCAGTTTAGGAAGTATACGACAGAATGGAGAGATATCACGCAATGTAAAAGAAGCAGCAAAGATCAAACGAAAACCTGTCAAAGTTTCTCCTATTCCAGAAGCTGAAAAAACTGAGTTAGAGAAACCTGATATTTTCCCAGATGCCATAAAGTCAGAGAAAATAAAAACAAAAGCAGATGAAAACTTAGGGCCAAGTGAAATTACAAATGAAGTCAACGGTGTAGAATTAAAACAAGAAAAGCCTGAAGTGACACCAACTGTAATTGAAATTGATGCCTCAAAATCGCCAACGAAACCTGTCTTAGACATGAAAGTCGTTAGTGAAGAAGTTACTCCTATCAAAAAAGACATAGAGGAAAAGAGTACAAAAATAGATAAAATGGAGCCAGTATCTCCAATTGAAAGTGAAAAAGAACTAAAAGATAAGACGTTTGATAAAAAACCATTAAAGAAACACTCTAAACTCGTTCCCCTCCAAATAGAAAGTAAAACATTCGAAGCCAGTGAACCTCAATTCGTAGATAGTACTGAAGGGCCGGTATTTAAAAAGCTTAAGTTAAAAAAGACCGTTGCTCCTCTGAAGCAGGATACTTCATCAGTAACGTTACCTAAATTTCAATTAAAAAGTCGTATAAAATTCGTAAGTGACTGGCCTCCCGCTATTACCGAGCCAATAATAACCGCCATAGGAAGTATCCGTCAAAATGGAATACTTTCACGAAATGTTAAGGAAGCTGCAAAACTTAAAAAAGTAATCATCCAGACCCCTAAACTACCTGAAATAGAACATACTCCGTTAGAAAAAGCAATGTTCGATTCTGAAGATATAAAATTAAGTATTAAAGCGAAACACGATGAAGAAATGATTGAGATTATCGATGATACTAAAAATATTGACACTACAGAAACGGAACCAGAGCAATTTACAATAAAACCTAAAAGGCCAAGTATTAAGAAAGTGCAAGACATAACAGATGAAGTAACTATTAAGAAAACTTTAAAACCGGTTCGAAAACAGTCTATTCCACAAACGGATGACGCAGAACCTGAAACAGTAACATTTAGACCAAAAACAACGAAAACGAAAGAGGATGTGGAACAAGAATTTAATATTCATTTAGATTCCTACGCTGAAGAAGAAATCTCCATGTCGAGTAAAGTAAAATTAAAACCACAACGGATCCCTACGTTTAATGAGGAAGCCAATGAAACATCAATCAAGTTTTATGAAGAAACTGAAGCAGAGGGAATAGTAGAGATTGTAGAAACTGACGAAAACGTAAGGGACGAAACAGCTGACATTATAATACCATTTAAAAAACAGCCGGAATATATAAAAATAAATGAAGACGAAATAACTTCGAAAGTTTTGAAGCCAAAGTCGGGGCCAGAAATAACACAAGACGTAAATGTAACGTTAGACAAAAAACCTAAGTACACTGTTCATGACCAAGAAGGTGTCACTTTTGATGTTAAATCTCGTACAGAAAAAGTCACTTCTGAAGACGTATCGCTATCCAGCAATGTAATTATTAAGCCAAAAACGAAAACTACCCACGCTGAAGGGTCTGCGGAAACTTCTATAAAAGTGACTCAGGAAGTTGAAGATAATAGCCAAATAGAAGAAATAATAGTAAGTGATGTAGAATCAGAAGAAAACGTTGAAATGGTGATTAGACCAAAGGGGAAAAAACCAAACTATGAAATAAGTGAAGTGGAAGAGGTAAATGTTGATCTCAAACCGAAAAAACCCAAGAGTGTTTTATATGAAGAAGAAAACCTTACATTTTCTACTAAACGTACACCAAGAAAGCCTTTGGAAATACAAGGTACAGTTATTTATTTATTTTACTTATAGGAACAAGTTTTTTTGCGGGTGGGGAAATATTATTTTATTATAAAGACGTACTTTTTCTTAGGATAATTCGTAAAAAAATATTTTTTAAATGTTAATAACTTCACTATCTAATTAATCTTACTTATATTTTAGAAGCGGATGTATCGATGAGTATAGCTAGGGAGCAGGAATTCCCTGGTAAGTCTAATTTTGACTACTATAAAAACATATGTTAATTCCAATGGCAAAAGGTTCTCACAGATAATACATGAATACCTAACTAAACTCACTATTACTTTATTTTTACCATTCGTTCACAACAAAATACGAAAGCGACACCAGTCCCGTCGGAAAATAAATATTTGCAAGAAAGTATTCGTATCTACATTACCAAAATTCGTATGAGATTAGTACAACAAAAGTGACGCTACACTAAATTTGGTGCACAGTACACCGAAAAATCTGATTTGACGGAGGATGATGCATGCTACCGACGCTCTATAAGAAGGGGAAAACCTTTCTGTGCGTCCCCGTCAAATAAAAGTAATGAAAGCATCTGCAATTCCGGATGTATATGGGCAGTAGTCGCTTTAGTATTTCGGACAATTCAGGCGGTCGCTTGCTCGTTTGTTTCAAAACAAAAAAAAATAGCGAATATCCACATAACAAGCGTCTTACATATTTCACAGAAACTCCAGTCAACGTGCGCAAGGGAGACACCGTTTTCGCCGTCTACTCTTATGTTGCGGAAACTGACGACGCTATAAATCTCGTGGAAGGAGAACGATTATATATCTTAGGTAATTCAAACTTTTTTTTACATAAACATGCATAGTATACATTTTATTTACTACTAAAACATATTTTTTGGTTACATGCAGCGACTACAATAATAATTTGATCTCCATTTAAATAATAGAGCAAGTAAAGCATAAAAAAAACAATTATTGGTACGTCATAAATAGGAAACCATAAACTTAACTTACTTACGTATGTATTCAATGAATATCATTAAATGAACTCCATTACACGTTTTTGTTCATGTTTGTATACCTTTGTGACGTCATTAATTTTGTACAAATAAATAAACAGAATTTATTTCTGTTAGACACTACAAATCAAGACTGGTGGTTCGTGCGGAAACATCTAACTGAGGAAACAGGTTGGGTACCAGCACAATATCTAATGGATGAACCAAACTACACTTCATATTTACAAAAGAAACTAAATGAAAAAATCGATAAGCTTCCAGTATTTGAAAGTAAGTGGTCAATCTTACAACAAGTTATTTTTAAAAGGAAAATTGTTTGATAGTTTGTAATTCCTTAACCCTTTTTTCTAGAACCTACGTCTGAAGAACAGGCAATAGCGCCAATATTTGTGGAAAAGTTACGTCCTAAGCATACTCCAGATGGATCTACTGTGCAATTCGAATGTCAAGTAGAAGGATATCCAAGACCGCAAATTACTTGGTTTAGACAAACAGCTATTATAAAACCATCTCAGGATTTCCAAATGTATTACGATGACGATAATGTAGCTACTTTAATTATTCGAGAAGTGTTCCCAGAAGATGCTGGTACATTTACTTGCGTAGCCAAAAATGCGGCTGGTTTTGCATCAAGTACGACTGAATTAACCGTTGAAGCACCCTTGTCGGATCATGGTTCCGAAATGACTATATTATCAAGAAAAAGTCTTTCTAGGGAGTCTTCTTTGGCTGATATATTAGAAGGCATTCCGCCAACATTTTCGAAGAGACCAAAAGCGCAATATGTCGATGAAGGCTCTAACATTTTGTTAGAATGTAGACTTGTAGCTATTCCGGAGCCAGATATAATATGGTTATTTAAGGGCGAAGAAGTAATGCCTAATGAAAATATTTCGATAGTGACAGAATCAGACATGCATATGTATTGTAGCGTATTGAAAATAACAAATGTGAAGAAACATCAAGAGGGTACATATACAGTAGTTGCTGTAAATAGAGAGGGTGAAGCGAATCTTCCTATTGTACTGAAAATAAAAACAGGCGAAAAAGAAAAGCCGCAGATAATTGAACCGCTTAAAAACATGTCCATTAGAGAAGGAGAAAGTTTTGTTCTCACTGTTCAAGTAGTCGGAAATCCGAAACCAAAAGTAACGTGGTATAAAAATAATGAACCTATTAAATCCGACGTCTGTAAATCTGACGGTGATGTACACACTATTACAATAATAAAACCTAGAAAAGGAATAAATGATGGAATTTATACACTTAAGGCTAAAAATTCAGAGGGCTCTACTCAAACCAGCGCCGTTATTAGTATTGAAGGTAAATTTTACAATCAATTTCATGTTAATCATATAACATAGAAGTCGAAACGAACTACCAATTTTTCTTCTTACTTAATTTACTTAATATTAAATTAAGTTGCCGTTACGGGTACTTGTCCAATCGTCACAAATTCATCTTACCATCCATTGAACTATCACAATACAGGTCATATGACAGTGAAGAACTCATCTTTTTACTGAAATGGCACACCACATTATTTTTATTTAATAAGTAATTCGCGCGTAAGATTCAGACGGGGTAGTGAGATCAACGACAGGGGGGTAACAGGCGGGCCTATTCATCATCAGCTCACTATACGTCCCCACCAAGGGGCTAAGTTAGGGGTGACTAGGCCACAGTTAACCAAGATGGCCTTCACCGTAAGAACATCCGATAAATGTACATATGTAAATCGAAAATCGAAAAACACATTGGTACATGGCGGGATTCGAACCCAGGACCTGCAGATTGCAAGTCAAGTGCTTAAACCCCTGAGCCACAGACGCTCTATTAATTGTTAAATATTCTGTTAGTAGGTATCCCTATACCTACTAAATAAAAATAAAAGTTACCTAATTTTTAGTTTCAAGTTATTCTTAGTACGAAGATATAATAATTTATATAAAAATATTATAAAGGCAAATTATTCTTTTACAATGGTTTTTAATTAATTATTTTAAAAGTTAAGATAATTTATTTGCTGCTTATAAATTTATATGTTGTTTATATGCTTATTAATTCATATCTTTTAGAACCTACTGAAGAAGATGCGGAGCCGCCGTTATTCATTCACAGATTCCAAGAAATAACTGTCAACGAAAAAGGTACTATTAAACTGTTTGCCAAAGTAACAGGAAATCCTGTTCCAACTATTACCTGGTACAGAAATAATAAGGTAATAACCCCTACCGATACAATTACACAAACATTCGATGGAGAAAACATCGAGTTGATTATACGTAATGTAGATTCTGAAATTGATTCTGGTGATTACAAATGTGTCGCGTCTAATAGCGCTGGTAAAGCATCACATGGAGCTCGAGTTACTATTGATGTAGATAAAGTTGTATTTGTTAAAAATCTAAATAAATCCTATGAAGTGGAAGAAGGAAAACTAGTAATTTTAGAATGTGAAACTTCTCACACGGTTTCTACAAAATGGTACCACAATAACAAGGAGCTAAGTGGAATGGATCACAGGGAAATAATACAAGAATCTCGAATACATAAATTGAAAATTAAGAAAACTAAACTGACCGATACTGGTAAGATAAAATGTGTCGTAAAAGATCAAGAAACCAGTACTGATTTAATAGTACATGAAACAATTCCTGAATTTATAAGGAAATTACAAGATTTCGAAGTTAAAGAAAAAGATGTTGCAATCTTAGAAGTTGAAATAAATTCAGAAACAGCAGATGTGTTATGGGAAAAAGAAGGTAAAGTGATCAAACCTAAAAAGAATAAATATGATTTTGAAAAACGTGGCAATGTTCGAAAACTATTCATCAGAAATACTTCAGTACACGATGAAGGGGAATATACGTGCGTATTGCGTGATGATGCATGCACTGCGGAAGTGACTGTTGTCGAGTTACCTCCAGAAATCATATCACGACTTACAGATCAAAGAGTAAACAAAGGCAACAAGGCAACGTTCGAAATTGAACTGACAAAGGGTGATGCTTTAGTCCAATGGTATAAAGACGACATGGAAATACAATTTTCAAATCATATTCAACTTACGATTGATGGTAAAAAACAAAAGTTAAAGATTTATGACTGCGAAGATAGTGACGGTGGAAGATACACATGCATTGTGGGTAATGATAAATGCACAGCTACTCTTACTGTTGAAACACCATCGATTGATTTCACCATGCGTTTACCCGAATTCATCATAGTCCCCGCATATGCAGATGCTTACTTAACTGTTGAAATACCAGATGAACAATATGATGTTACTTGGTTTAGAAGAAAAAGTAAAATTGAAGACTCAGAAAAGTTTACTTTAATATCTGATGGTAAGAAACGAACAGTTATCATTAGAAAATGTCTGGAAGAAGACCAAGGTGAATATTCTTGTTCATTGTTAGACGCGATGTGTTCGACGAAGTTAAAAGTTGAAGGTGAGTTCTATATTAAATTATTTTATGTATTATATATTTTTACATTCCGTACATTTCATTGCTTATGTTTATTAATTTTTATATGTATTTTTACAGTTACTGAATTCTCTCCTAAAATCTTAGACTACGTAAAGGAATACAAAATAAAGAAAGGAAGTGATGTAACAATAAGTGTTAATTACGAAGCAGTTCCTAAACCTAATGACGAATGGATAGTTAATTCTAAGATAATAAAGAGATCCAAGCATACAAAACCATTCATAGACTCAGAAAGTGCTAGCCTCACGATTAAAAAGGTTGACAATACGGACGCAGGCATTTATAAACTTCGTCTAGAGAACAACTGCGGAAAAGCAGATGTTGATATCACTATCATCGTAACAGGTAAAGTGAAGTCTACATGAGAAAAGAAAAAACTGGCAATCTCAAGTGGGGAAAATAATATTTAAAATGTATTTGCAGATATTCCATCTCCGCCTGGTAAACCTAACGTATTGGAAGTCAATGACACATCCATTAACATATTTTGGGATGAACCAAAGAGCAATGGTTTTTCGGATGTTACTTGTTACATTGTTGAATATCAAGAAAAGAATACTACAGAGTAAGTCCCTTTTTTACTAAAACTTTTTAAGTTAAATGAAAGCCTACTTATGTGTAATTTTATATATTTCATCTTGAACTTGAGCTTATGTCGTCAAAAGCATCGTAACTAATTTGATTTGATTCTTAATTTTTAGGTGGTTATCAATCGAAAATGTCACGAAAACTCAAGTTTACATTAAAAATTTGAAGGTTGATACTTATTACCGATTCAGAGTGTTTGCAGTAAATGAAGTCGGTGTAAGTGAATCTTCAGAATGCTCTGAATTTATATTGATAAAGAAAAAAGTATCAAAACAACCTCCCTCTGTAGAAAAACCATTAAAGGACGTAATAGGACATCCGAACGAAGATTTAGAACTAACATGCATATTCGGAGGTTTGCCTCAACCAACAGTTACCTGGTTTAAAGATGGCAAGAAAATTATTACTTCTAAATCTACATATGTCAATAGAGTAGCAACACTTAATATTTCCATTGAAGAAAAATCTCAAGGGGAATACAAATGTGTTGCTGTTAACGAGCATGGTGAAGTAGAAACATCATGTATCATAGAAGTGCAACAGAAGCCTATCATTCATGTTACGGAGAATGAGAGGATCCAAAAGCTTAGAGTCAATAATAAATGGTCTGTCACCGCTACCATTGAAGGTATACCCAAACCTCAAATTGTTTGGTATAGAAATGGAACTAAGATTGATGACTCAAGCGACATCAAGAAAACAATTAACGATAACGTCAGCGAGATCAACATTGATAAAGTTAAAAGGTTACACAGCGCAAAATATACAATTGAGGCATATAATAACGCCGGCTCCACTTCTTACGACGTCACCTTAAGTGTATACGGTAAGAGACATTACAGCAATATTAATGATTATTACTAATGTATCGCCTTTACATATAATTTTTTTGTCTATTAATCAATATTTTCAAACTGATGTATATTTAGGATATACACTATGATTTAAATAAAAAGATAAGCCTTGTATTGTTCAGGACCAAAATAATAATGTAGTTTTTCTTTCTACAGATGTACCAAGTAAACCCGAAGGTCCTGTTGTCATGAAGGAAATAAGCAAAGAATCTATCACGGTACAATGGAAGCCACCTTTGGATGATGGCGGCTTAGATATAACAAAATATGCAGTTGAAAAATACGACCCGGAAATGAGGCAATGGCTTAAAGTAGCTGATGTTGATAAAGAAGTAACATCGTATTGCTTCCAAGGATTGAATGAAAATAATAGTTACAAATTTAGAATAATGGCCATAAATCCTATTGGAGTCTCTGAAGCTTTGGAAAGTGAGGCGATAGTAATAAAGACGGCTTTAGGTAAAAAAAAACTTTGTAGAGTTATAAGACATTTGAACTTTATTTATATAATAATTACATTTGTGTTTAATAATTATTTTATTATTTATTCCAGATGTACCATCGCCACCGTTGGGTCCGCTAGGTGTTTACGGCATAACTAATGAATCTGTCACAATAACTTGGTCTCCACCAGAGAAAAATGGAGGATCAGCTATACTTGACTATACTGTAGAAGTCAAAGATGGCAAAAAATGGAAACAAGTAGCTACAGTAACAAACACCACGGCTAGAATAGAAAAACTGCGTGCAAATGTTTCATACAAATTAAGAATTTACGCTAGAAATGAAATTGGTGTAAGCTTACCTTACAGTCCCGAGCAAGAAATCATTCTTGGGAAAACTTTATGTAATTATCATTTATTATCTGTTACTTTTATAATTAAATTTTATAACTAATATTATAAATGCGAATGTTTAGGATGGATGGATGTTTGTTCTGAAGGTTTCTTCAGAACAGCTGATCGGATCACGGTGATACTTGGCATACATATAAAACAAAGTCTGGAAGAAGACATAGGCTTCTTATATTGTTATTTTATCCCGCGTCGACGGAGTCGCGGGCGACAGCAGCAATTTTTAAATTAAACTAAATTTACTGTTCTAGCTCCACCTTCTCAACCGCTAAACGTCATGGTAAGAGAAATTACTTCAAGATCAGTTACTCTTTCATGGATGGCTCCAGAGAGTGATGGTGGCAGTGTAATAACAAGTAAGATATATCTATTATTTTTTAACTTTGGAAGATCTTACGTGACTATTTTAATAGGAAATTATATATAAATATTTATATTCAAATATTATAATTTCAGATTACATAATAGAGTATACGACAACAAACAGAAAATCATGGTCTAAAATAATCACAGTAAATGGTTCAACATACGAACATTGTATCGAGAATATTAGAGAAAAAGAAGATCTCATATTCAGAATATCTGCTGAAAACAGTATTGGCATTAGTTTACCAACTGAATCAGAATTAGTGCATTTGGAGAAACATGCCAGTAAGTTTGTTTACAATACCCATTGGTATATTTGGCATTTTATCGAGCTCATTCTAAATTTACTAATATTTAATTATTAGAAAAAGTTGTTCAACTTCCGAATAAACAATAATTATATGTAATTTACAAGTAATGTAGTGCAAAAATTACATTTTAACTATAGTTATAAAAAAGCGAGAATCGTAGAAAGAAGTCGTAGTTAAGATTTGAATAGACATCCATTGTCTGCTTACATGATTGTAGTTATTTATTATTCAATTTGTATTTCAGCTGTACCTTCCCCACCAATTGGGCCATTAGAAATCAGAACAGTAGGCAATAACATTGTTATGACGTCATGGGGAACGCCAGAATGGGACGGAGGTGCCCCTCTTTTGGGATACAACATCGCCATCCGTGACGTCACAAAAACAATGTGGATGGAAGTTGGTAAAGTAGACAGTCAAACGTTGAAATTCAACATCAAGGATTTGAGTGAGAACCATACCTACATGATAAGGATATACGCTCGCAACGAAATTGGTATTAGCGAACCGCTTGAATCCGATGAACCATTTAAAGTTATTCCTGGAGAAGGTAAATATTCAATTTTCATAATATTTAACACATATTTAAATTAACGCGTTCGAATCTCAATACTTGTGCTACCATACGCAAAATCTTAGGGTAAGAAAATTGTTCAAGTCCCCTATACATTAATTACAAAAGTGCATACAGAAACTTATTCTATTGAAGTATTCAGCCTGTACGTTTCCTTACTTCTTAATAAAATTATATTATGTCACAAGGTTTATATTTATAAGCTTAATTTAACCATGAACAATTTTCATAAACTATTGTTATTACTATATATTTCTTTATTCAGTACTAATTATAGTGTCGCTGTAATCTCGGGCCCTTACTGAGCATGGTCATACTGATTGAGAGATCAGTCGCAGTCAGATCATTGTTAACCGTTCAATAGGACATAGACCTAGCCTTACTTCACCCGCTATCATCAAATGTTTAATGAACCATGTAATTAATATGATAATAATTTGTACAGACTCGTATGCTGATGAGGAACCGGGTGAACAAACGGAGATGACAGAGCCGACGTCCTTCAGTACGCAGACGACGACATCGTGGCTGCGTGAACATAATATGGACGCCGACATACGATCATACGCCCGTGGCTCCCTCCTGCGACGTGACGAGTACTTCTTTAGAATATGGTACTACGCCAAACAACTGTTCAAGTGAAATTATAAACGCACGTTCGAACATTGACCTGTGATATTTCTGAACAAAATTTAATTGTTCATATAGTTCGCGAATAGTAAAGCTTAGAATAAAATTTGAAGAGCGTCCATCTTGAATTCTATCTCACTTAAAAATTTGTTACCATTTTTATATGAATGTAATTTAAAAAAGAAATATTTATTATAGATGTAAAGCTAAATTATTTATTTATTTAAAAAATATAACTTAATAATGTATACTTTATAAAATTTGATGTTAATATTTAAGCCTTATCTTTATTTATTTATTGTGGGAGACGTTTTAAATATAGGTGCATTCATTTCGAAATAATTGATAAGACTTAAATAATATACATCGAATTTTACTAAAAATGGAAAACTTAAATAAATAGTAGCAACCCGAATAACACATGTTTTTTTTTCAACCGAAAAATCCAATGGATACATCCTACCCCTCTTGATAATCGTCGTGAGTCTTATGAAGCATCGGAGTTAAGAATAACTTGTTATAAAATTAAAAAAAAACATAGGAAGAAAATATGTCAATCTTACTCTTATTAATATTATAAATGCGAATGTTTTGATGGATGGATGGATGTTTGTTTAAAGATATCTCCGGAACGGCTCAACGAATCTTGATGAAATTTGGCATAAATGTAGAACATAGTGTGGAAGAACACATATGCTACTAATTAAGCTTTTTGTTTAATCCCTCGCGGACAGAGTCGCAGGCGATAGCTTTTTTTCCTTAAATTTAAGTTTGGTGAGAAAACCGTTACCTTGACAACATCGTTTCTAACGACTTTGTCTTATCTCTTCGTAAATATTTCGGATGTCCACTCTATAATTAATATTTTGTTACTCTTTGGTCTCTGTCATACATGGATTAAGGGTTTTAAATAAAGAACATAGCTAAGTACTCATTTATTTAATATCAAATATTTAACTTAACTATTATGATAAAATGAAAAGGCATCTAATTACGAATATTTAAAGTTTCGAACATTGAAATGTCAAAGAGTAAAACAGTATTGTTATTACATTGTTACTAATAAATGCTTAAAATACAATAACTTTAAAACCAACACTTCATGATATTGGCGCTATTACATAAATTAGAATCAACGAACAATCATGACAATTTTATAATAAAAACGTTGTTATAATCTAAATAGTAGGCACAGCTACAAACACACTTTACTGACGATTTCTGCGACCTGGAAATTATAAAAAAAATTAAGTGACGTTAAGCTATTACAAAATAATTGTTGATCATTGGAATATCTTATATTTCTGAGACTAAAATCTCTGTGTAAAACATATCGTCATATTTGATAACACAGAGATAACAATATGTTTAAAACACAAATTGCGGTCTCGGAAACCCACGGTAAGCCGTGTGTAGAATTTATTTCATCCAAAATTAATAGATCGATTTGTTACCCTTATCTTTGGTGGACTTGACTTGTTTGTTTTTGTTGCATTTTTTAGTAATGCGTCGGCTTTGGTCGCAAGTCGGGTCGCTGTTTGCTTTCAACATGTCAGTCCTGGACATCTCACCATTGGGACTACATTCGCTCCATGACGATTTCTCGTAACGACACGCTAGGAATACAAAATAATATATTTAACTAAATATTGAACAAGACAGACAGACATTTATTTCTATTGTATTCAATGAAACAATAAGCATCTTTTCACCTTTTAATACTGTTGATAATAATTTAAGAATGTTAATCAATACTTTATAAAAATATCGTTTAATAATGATGAAATAAAAGTGTCATTACCTTTTTTACATTTCTTCTGAATAGTCTTTGTACGTTCGCAGTTCGAAACATCTCCTTTTTTCAAAGTAAGCGTTCGCGAACGTATGTTCGTCTTAGAATCGCATTCGGACCAAGCGCCACGAACGTAGCGACATGTCTCTGAACAAAAGAGCATTATATAATAGCGCTATTATAAAATAGCGCTTAAATATTGTTGATTAAATTAAATATCAATTAAGATTGAGATTTTGTACATATAGCGATAGTGACACGTGGCCTTCGTAGTTTATAATATAAGTTAAATGATGATTAAAATAACATTTACAACTCCTAATTAATGTTGCTATGATCCAATTACAAACAAACACATGCTAAGTTACAGCATAATAAATACAACATAGGATATCTTACTAACATTATAAATGCGAATGTTTGGATGGATGGATGGCTGAATAGATATTCGTAACAAGGTCTAAGCTCCATCAGCTGTATAAATCTCGCTGAAATTTAGCAAAAATATAGAACATAGTGAGGAAGAACACATAGGCTACTATGTTTTTTAATCTTGTGCGGGCGGAGTCGCAGGCGTTAGCTAGTTTTGTAATATAAACTGTTACCTCTACTTTTAGCGCCTCTTTCGTTGCGGACGAGAGCTTCATGATCGCCTTTCTCCAAAACTTCTCCTTCAGCTGAAGCTATAGCCACCAGTAGTAGGATCAAACCAGCAACCATCCAACCGCACTGTTTATACTGCAACAAAAATATTATTTTTAAAAATTGAACGCAATCCTAAACTTGCCAGCTGTGCTATTTTGAACTAACGACTCTAACTCCGAAATAGGAAAGAGATACGTGTAAAAATTGACAACGGATTACTAAGTTTCGTACGTAAAATTGTAACATTCATACTAAATATGTGAAAACTGCGGACCGCATACTACGGCATTAGCGAAGGCTTTTGTCCAATAGTGGACAGAAATTGGCTGATGATTATAGTGATGTTAAACAATTATCAGTCCCCAGGATATCAAGAGAACATCCAAGAGTTTAAATTACCAAAATACAAGTTCAAACAAAAGAATTGCTGTTGTGGAAAGAGGACAATGATTTGCACACAAATAACTTATCAATTTCTATAATCTTTCATAGAGAATAAACATCGGACGCGAAGCAACGCTAGCGGTGAGTTTCCATTGTTGTTATACCTGTATAATAACTATATGACAAAACCACTACCACCCTGTTACCATCGTGTATAAAACTTGATGAATAGATAAAGATCTTAATTTAATTAAAAGTAATAAATCACGCAAGCAAATTAATATGTAATAAAGTCTCAAAATCTTTGTTTTAAATCTACACTAAGGGTCTGCTTAAGTAAAGATTAAGAGTTCGCTTCGCATTTTCATATTTATATTTAAATTTTCGCAATAGCTTTGTATTTAATGAGTATAATTTTTTTAAATAATTTGACTCGTCTAAAATAATCTGTTTAATTAATAATAATTTATTTTAGAGATTGCCACATGTTTTTTTCAACTAAAAATAATTAAAAATCATGTATTTATAATGTGATTATAGTAAGAATTTAATATTTTCTAACATTATTCTCCTCGTTTGTAAACAATTAACATGAATTGTGGTTTATAAGAGTAATTTGTAAATTCATATCGCATATGTTTATTTATACGTCGAACGAATGATAGTGACCAGTCAACGACTTTATTGTTTCATAGCTACGGACTCAATACGAAAATAAACTCAATGACTCGCTTGCTACTTGTATCTGATAACAAGTGAATTGATAATAATTTATTGTTTTTATATTTGTACAGGAAATGTCCAGGGTCGGTATCCGGGTCTGTTTTAACCCTAATATTTTTTATTAATCATATTTTCTCAATATTTAATTGCGTATTAGTGAAATATGAATTTGTACAGATAAACAAATTTTGCCGCTAAAACATATGTCAAGTGGCGACATCTCGCGGCTGAATTGCATCCCTGACCTAAAATTCGAACAAAGACCCCTGGAACTAAAGAAACAAAGACGTTTTCTACTTAATGTATCACTAGTTGCTATTCATTTGAACGCGGCCACAAGTATTGATTTACAGATAAAAAACAAAAAAAAGACCATAGAGACTGCATTCCACAAAAAGATCCCATAAAAATACCTACATATGGTGTCTTTTAACATTCTACGTGTTAGAGCGGGACGGATTAAATTGCATAGGTTACGGAATCCGGCACAATATTTGTATCGGAATCGAATGACAGCAGACCACAACACACTATTAGTTGAAAATAAGATTCTTGTTAATTTTTATCTCTCCATTATGCATTCTTCCAGTATTTTTTTTTATTTCATATATTTGGAATAAACGCTAAAAATTTATAGATGTAACGAATAGGAAAATCACCTTTAAAAATATAATTTGTTATGGTAAAAATTTGTCTTATTTCATAATGTACAATTATCATTAGTAAATAAACAAACGTATTTTTTTTAAATTAATACGTTTAATAATAATTAAAAATAACTTAAAAAACGTCTACTTTATGTAATATCTCGCTTAAAAGTCACAATAAATGTAAATGTTTTGGAAAACTAAACTATGGGAAATAAATACATATTTCGTTTAGTTAAAATATGCTTACCTCCATATTCGCAGTTGGATTTCTTGTGCTAGGGTGAAATGCGTGCTGTCGGGACGAAGTTCGGTACGCGAGTGCGCGACGCTAGAGACTCCGAAACTCGGAGGACGCTTGGCTATTGATCTGTCCCTTACTACACCCGGGACTGGTACAGTACCACTGTACACTGCATACTCCTGCTCCTGGCCCCCGCCGCCCCTCGCCTCACACATCCACCTCCCCCCGGACACACCCGAAAGATCTCTCTATCTACAACCCAACAAGATTTATTACTTTTTCCGGGAATGACCGGATTTCCTTCGCGGGACGACTTTGGTTTTTTTTTCTGGCGAGACGCCAATTAACTTTCATAGCAGATTTAATGCGTAATTCGATTCTACTTTGTTTTCTTGCAACATGTTTTATTGGAACTCGTTTTTAAGAAACAATTAAACTTTAAATGACCTTAAAATAAGTAACTAAACGAGAAATAGTGTTGATTTTTTTTATTGTTTTAAAGAACAACAAGAACCAGCAACATTCTTAGAGATATTTTTTTTAACGCTTACCAAAGCGTGAGCTTGTAATATATAAGATTTTATCAGGTCATTGCACGGTCGATTCGACCAATATAAGATTGGAACATGGAACATAATCAGTAGAAGTTTAACATAGGATGTAGATAATATTAAAGTACTAAGACGTCATGAAACTGTAAACACAACATTCTACATATTATGTTATACAAGCTGCCGCCCGCGATTTCGTTCGTGCGGAATTTAAAAAAAAACTTTATTAGTAAGTAGCCTATGTGTCAGACTATGTTCTACGTCTATGCCAAATTTCATCCAGATCCGTTGAGATGTTCTAGAGATACCATCTAACACACATCCATCCAAACATTCACATTTATATTAGTAGGAAGTTACAGTTGGTTGATAAGATTAAAGTTGGTGAGAGTTTCAAAAAGGTCGTCGACAAAAATAAACAGCTTAAAGTAAAGCACACCTGCTGTAGGAATTTAATTTTAGATATTTCAAAAGTATTCGTTGCTCGTGAAACTCTGAGGACACTTGCATCTCGACATTTCTTTCCTTTTACTTCTTACATCGTCTGCTCTCTTGGCGAGTCGAAAATAAAACAAGTGCAATTTCATCTGGATGTCTGGAAAATATTACAAGAATGCTTCAGCATATAAACGATTTAAAAATAACTGAATCATTTTTTGTTTTGATAAATTCACTTATTTTTTTTTTATACAATTTGTAAATGGATAATATTAGTAATGGAAACCCACGTTAAATTATTTCGTACCATCCATGAGACATCACTGCGATCGATATCGACCGGGAAGAATTAATTTACGAAACATAACTGTAACATCGCAATGCATAAATGAATTATATTTCGCAAATGAATATCGCAATTCCGGGATGTTTGCGTTTGTAATATTTAATATTTCTGCGCATTTTAATTAACGTTACGTTTATAATTGCGTGTGTATTGCAGATCGGGTGGAAGGTATTACGAGGAAATGGTAGAATTAATCATATTAAATCGAAACGAATTCGTTTTGTTAATGAATACAAGTTTATTATTATATTTTTGTTAGTTAAAAATGTTATTGCATATATGAGAGCATTTTAAATAAGATAATATTTAAATATTGTTATTATTTTTTATTATTTTCGCGTAGGCTAAAACCGTGCAATGAATTTAATGAAATTTGTTAAGGAAAATTAATTTTGAGTTTGTAAGCTATTTGATCGGTCTGTTTACCATAAGTTTCCAAGCCTAAAATCTCCGTTTTTAACATATTGTTATCTCTGTTTTGTCAAAGATAATGAGAGGGATGACGATATATTAACAAAACATACTTTTCATTCAAAAATACATATCAATTGTATATTTAAAATCTCTAAACATTAACTATAGTAAATCCTCATAAAATTTTTGTTACTGGATAAAAGTGAGAAATTATTGCGAATTCTGAAAATGTCTAACCGATTCCAATCGCTTTAGAAACCAATAAGCTACATTGTTCTTAATTAACTTAGCTTGAGAAATGTAAATATAAAATTGTTTCATAAGTATCGTTTTAATAATCCTCTTAAATAAAATTTGTTTCAATTAGTTTAATTAATCTTTCTCCGAACATCGTATCGCAATGGAATACTCGATAATCCTTCGGCTTAATTGAATCCGTTAATTTTACATTTACTTGGCTATTTAAAATAAAAAATTTCAATTGCTCTTTTATAACTTATCATATTCAAAGTTTATATTTAAAAAGAAGCCGAATCAGTAGCTGAAGACCAGCTCAACAGGTAAAATACCACGACTTTTCTTTTACAAAACAATTAGAATCAAAAAAAAACATTACGGAATAAATATTACAGGAGTGAAAGCGCAATTTATACCTTCTCTTCCCACTTTATCTAAAAAAGAAGAAGGAGATTGAAAGGAGTAGAAGATTAGGAGAATTCAGGAAAAAAATAACCTTTTTCCTATCAATCTTACCCTCAGTCAGATGAAGGTGGACGGTTTTTGGTGTGAAATTGCAAAGCGAAGTTAGTTTTAAATATATTCTAGTCTAAAATGTTTTACCACTAGAATAAACTGACAAGCATTTTAACTTAGATTTAAAACAGCTGCAAATAAAAAGAAAATACATTTCATTTTCTGCCGAGGCTCTGTGTAACGTAGAAATAAAATGGAACGTAATAAGCGCAAGAAAGCATCAGAGCACTTTGGATCCGTTGAATTTTACATTAAAATTTGTAGAAACGCAAAACAGAAATGCAACATGACTAAAAGCGATGCAGCTGCTTTTCTATTCCTTTAGCGGGCTTTGAAATTTTAATATTTTTATGACAACTAAAAATAACTTTTAGTAAAACATTGAAAATAACATTTCCTCTTAAAGGTTTCCTAGTGTTTAATTATATAACATTAATAAAAATATCAGTCATAGACAAAATGCTGTATTAAATTTTAGCAAAGAGTAATTAATTAAAAATCAATTAGAAATAACAAAAAAAAATACCCAAAAATATCTTAGTATCATTGTAAATACAAACAAAATTGTATACCTTTTCTTTTCATTTTTCATTATTTCAAAGCGTCGTCAGTGTGAGTCATCAAGCTTTTATAAAAATGCTATCTCCAGTTACAATCTGAACCGGATTCCCTTTTCGCCTTTGAAACGTTTCCAGCATGAAAATGCAAAAGCTTCCGACGTATGAAAAGCGGAGGGAGCACAAATGCGCCCGTGTTCTGTTGAGTCAAGTGTACGTCGGCGGTACGGTGACAGGTAACTTCACAAAGCATGTAGCTACGCTCTTATAAAAGCTGCCAACAGAATCCGGAATTTTTGTCAAAGGAATTAGAAGGATGACTCGCATAAAATTCTCGTTAAAATTTCAAACAAAGGCCTATTCATGACAGACATGTGAATTCTATTAAATGAGACTTTTTGATGAAGACTATACCAGAATACTTTACATTATGCATGAACAGAGTGCCGCGCTTTAATAGTCTCTTGACTATTATAGTGACAATCGAAAATTGAAAGAATAATAATAGGTATTTAGTTGAAAATAGGTGTAAAGTTTGTGAAGTTGTAAGTCAGTGCCATATGGGTCGTATAATTTATAAATTCGGCCAGCCACCGACTGTTTCAGCTGTCGGTACGGACTCTAAGCGTGCGTTAACAAATTACGATGAGAAATTATATAACTTCTTTGCTTTTTGCTCGTGCGGAAAGTGTGCAAAATATTTCTTTTTTTTTATCTGTACGTTATCGGTGTAGATTTCTAGCTTTGTATTGGTAACAAAATTAACGATCCGTTGACATTTATTAATTAAATTGTTATCGTTTATACTTAAAATAACACAATAATGCATTGCAGTAACAAACGCCATGAAAGTATGGATTACATTAAATTTATTTGGTATAATCTTTAATATAATAAAATATTTCTTCAATATTAAAATACTAAATAACATTTATCCTTGTAAAATAATATTTTCATTTTCAGTTGCATTTATAACAATATGTAAAGGAGATTCTCCATTCCAACCTCGTGAGAAATCAGTACCTTTTATTGTAAGTATTATAGCATATTAGTATTGTATATTACTGCATTTTCATATATCCTACGACAGTCAATTTAGGATCCTCCCTGAGTTAACATAAAGGTCTTCCCGAATTACACAAAAAAACCGACATAAATACACCCGGCATATAGAAAATGTTGCCAGTCACTGTTTATGACATAACAAATAGACAGATCTATAATAGAAACTATAACAGGATATATTATTGTTACGTTACGTATGTCGTTGAATGTTACAAAGTAAACTTTTCTACGCAGTCTTTGATCCCCCTTTAACAGAGCAATTTCTTTTAGTTAGTATAAAATTGTCGCTCGGTAGCATTGTCGTGTTGATTGTGTAATCAAAGTCGACAGCTGAACAACTTCCTCGTAGAGTATTCTCATCCTTAATATGACAATCAAAACATCCTTTGAAAACATAGATCATTCTTTAACTATAAAGATTTATGACAAAGTTTTTAGTAAACTTTTTTAATATAATAGTCTTTTGTTAAATGTCCACAGATTCTCTAAACTTTAATTTGGGTTTAAGAATTATTTAAGCCTATAGGGCTTAGTATAAACTTACACGGACTGACAATCTGCAAACTGTTACCGAAGATTGGCGGTCAACTTGGCAAATCTTCTCAGTCTTACTTCTTACTTATATTATGCGAATGTTTAAATGCATGGATGGATGGATGTTTGTTAGAAGGTATCTCCAGAACGGCTGAACGGATCTCGATGAAATTTGGCATACATATTATATAGAACATAGTCTAGAAGAACACATGGGCTACTTATTATGTTTCTTTTCTAATTCCGCGCGGACAGAGTCATGGGCAACAGCTAGTTTTTTTTTAGAAAGAAGTGGGCAAAAAAAGGAATAATAACATCAGAGGAAATGCAGATTAGAGAACTTGCTTCGAAGAATCCCTATAGACTCTGTTTTTGGAGCACGATAAAAACAATCGATACCCATAACTACATCTACTTAAATGTAAATTATTTCTCTTGCAATTATATTTTCCAGGTTTATTTTTTATCACGTTACCGAGGAATAT